TCCCTTTGTTTGGGTATCCCCAGGCATTCTACAACTTGGACCCTAACTTTCCTATCTAAACTTTGAGTGTATTTCCCTAAACATATAATTTTTTTTTCTTTTCTCCCTCTTCTCTTGCTTCCAGGTTGTAGAAAGGACTAAGGTGAGGTTCAAACAAGCACTTTTTGAATTACTTTACTGCATTTGTATTCTCAAAGTTTAGATGTGATGTCTCATGTCAAAGTTGGACATGTGATGTCCTTGGTATATGGTGACACTCAATAATAAACAATTCTTTCTTGAAATAATAATCTAATGAACATTTTATGTGTTGTTTTACTTTTTCATCTTGTGATACTTATGAAGACTCCCATAAATTTCCTCTTGAACCCCAAGACTCACTCCAAACAAAAGAAACTATAAACTCCACTTTGTGAGTGCTCTCATCAGCAAGCAAACAAGTTCACACTCCAGCTGGCTTCTTAGAAACACATGATGGTCATTTAACTCAGAGAGTCTGTTTCCTCTTTTGTAAAATGAGGAAGTTGGCCTAATTCAGTGGTCGGCAAACTCATTAGTCAACAGAGCCAAATATCAACAGTACAACGATTGAAATTTCTTTTGAGAGCCAAATTTTTTAAACTTAAACTATATAGGTAGGCACATTGTTATTAACTTAATTAGGGCACTCCTAAGGCTTAGGAAGAGCCACACTCAAGGGGCCAAAGAGCTACATGTGGCTCACGAGCCACAGTTTGCCGACCACGGGCCTAGTTTATCCGTAGTTTCCTTCCAGTTTTAGCACATCGCCTCTAAAAGTTGATGGGGTAGGAGATGTGGGGTTGAACCCAGGAAGTAGAGAAGGCCAGCTAATTATATTTGTAGCTCCAATCATCTGCTGCCATTAGCATAACAGGCAGCTATTTGCCTTTTAGTGATTGGTGGTCTTAACTCTTCAGCTTAAGAAATATGTGAGTACTAACCTTGGTTTAACCACTAAGCGATCCTCATATTTCCCCTTTCCCTGAAATGAAACTATTAATATCCACCCCTATCTCATTTGATAAACAAAATGTTTCTATTAAAAGTAAGTGACAGGAATATTATAATTCAAGTTTGGGAAGTGAAAAAAATTTTTTTCCTCAATTATAATTTAAAACATTTTTCCTTTCTTTTGTTATTGTTCCAAAACTACCCAAGAAGAACTTAAAAATTAGTAAATGGAGGGGTGGTTGTGCAGAAAATTTAAAGAAAAAATGCAGAATTTTTGTCTGAGGTTAACAAATTTTAGCTTGCTTTAAAATGTTAAAAGAATTAAGTTGAAGCACCATCTAGTGGCTCTTAATTGTGTTTTGTTTAAAGTTGTTCCCAATTTTTCTCAATTCAGGACCACAATTAATTTATTGTACATATATACATATGTGTTCAGAAAAGAAAATATGTTTTTTTTATCTTTATGCATGGGTAGGAAGTTGAGAGGAAGTAGCTGCAGCTTTTTACTGTCCTCCAACTTAACATCACCTAGAAAATCATGACCGTGAGAATGCAACAGAGAAAGAGCATGAATTCAGAGAAATCCTTTTCAGGAGGAATGGAGTCCTTTCACTGGAAAAAGGATTAACACAATAAAGTCCCATAGATTTCAGTTCCTCTGTTTCTCCTACTCACATCCTCACATCCTCCCTACGAGCACACAACAGTATATTTATCTTCCCAATCCTACCATGCAGACATGTAATTATTAGATGATCTTTGCACACACCCCAGATCTCAAGCCTTTTCCTACCACAGCATCCCTTAAATTTACATAACAAGCAATTCTGCTGTCATAGAGATGGCTCTCATATTTGTGATTTCTATCTTCTGAAGTTATGTACTTCATTATTGCTAGAAGAAGAATAAAAATGCACATGAATAGAGCATAAGCTGCTGTTGCAATGTTGACAGCAAACCTTGAGACTGGCAAACTAGTTATTTGTATCAGTCAGAATTAAGTTAAACTGTTAAATTCACTAAAATAACAGTGGCATGAACAAGATAGTTTATTCACTTTCTCACAAAAGAAATTTACATGTAGGTGATTTAAAATTTGAACTGTCAACTCCATGGTCATCAGAGTCCAGGATTCTTCCAGCTTGGTTTTCCACAATGTTAGTGGGTGGCTTCTATCCTCAGTGTCCCCCTTGGCCCAAGTTGGCTGCTGGACCCAGTCATCACATCAATGTTGAAGTCCAGGTGATATGGAAGAAGAGCCAAAGAGGACCTCTCCTTTCTCTTTAAAGAGCTTTTTTGAAAACAATCAAATTATTTATGCTCACATCTCATTTGTGAAAAGTTTTTTGGGTGGTCACACTCAGCTGCAAGGGAAACTGAGAAATGTCTTTTAGCCAAGTATGTCCCCACACTAAATAAAATTGGAGTTATGTTGTTAAGCAATGCACCAGAGACATATGTCACAACAATGCTGCGTAACAAACAACCATAAAACCTCTGTGATAAGAATTGCTCAAATATTTGGGAAACCAGTCTAAGTCAGAGTTCACAGTGCTCAAATGTCAGATAGGCAGTTCTTGTGACCCTACTGAGCTCCTTCTCTTGCCCAGGAGGTGGCCAATTATTGGATTGTCTAGGCTGGCCTCAACGGTGAGAGGGTGGGAGGACCAGGGTAAAGTTAGCTCTGCTCTACATGTTTCTCATCCTCCGGAAGACTAGCTCAGACATGTTCTCATGGAATATCATGTAGAAATATGCAGGATCTCTGAGAGTTTGGATCAAGACTGGTACACTACCACTTATACCATATTTGAATGGCCAAACTACATTGCATGGGGTGGGGGGAGGGTATCACTCTTTTTATGGAAAGAACTCTAAAGTCACTGAAAAATTACATGAATTGAAGGAGAGGTGAAGATTTGGAGTCATGAATATAATCATCCACCACAAGGAAAAAGGGGAAGATGAGCACTGAACCAGGCAACTGCAATCTGTGCTACAGCATTTTTAGTCTGTTACAGAATTGTATTACTAGACATTTTTCTGTCCTATGCTCTGTTTTAAAAATGAGGAAATTATTATAAAAGGGAAAGAGAAGAAAGAGCTAATGCAAGTCATATATGACATTATTTGCTAATTTAATTATTTCTTGACTCAAGTTCAATTACTAATGGAGTATGTATTAATCTTAGCATTTGCCTATTCTTACCATAGGCAGAAAATGGCTAAATGTGTCCAAAACCTGACTCTATTTAATCCAAGACAGCTACACTACATTTTCCAACTTCCATAGAAGTTAGTGTGACCATAGGATAAGTCTCCAGCCAATGGAATGTGAGAGATGTGATTACTACTCCAGGCCTTGTTCATGAAAACCTCCCCCATAAAATTTCTCTCTCTCCCCCCCCCTCCTCCATTTATCACTGAATGGAAATACTCTGAGGCAGAGACATAGGATAAATGCTAACTTAGAGAACCACTCTTGCCCCCTGCCCTAGCCTCAACAACCTGCACTAGAATATGAAATGAGCAAGAATTAATGTTTTGTGGTATAAATACACTGAGATTTTCCAGCAAATACACTATCCTACTTATATAGTATCCTCCAAATAGTATGCATTCATGTCTTCCCTTAAAGTTTTGTTAAGAAATAAAATTAATATTCCAAACCACCTGCCAATTTACATAAGAAGTTTTTTATTTAAATAAAAGAACACTTTTGCATGGCCAGGGTGTGCCTCAGTGGTTGAGCATAGACCCAGGAATCAAAAGGTCACCAGTTCATTTCCCCATCAAGACATATGCCTGGATTTGTGGGCTTAATCTTCTGTGGGAGTTGTGCAGGGGCAGGAGGCAGCTGATGGATGTTTCTCTCTCATCAATGTTTTTATCCCTCTCCCTTCTTCTCTCTCTGAAAATCAATAAAAACATTTTTAAAAAAGAACACTTTTTACTAAAGGATTGCCATATGTATCAGTGAAGAGAGGGTTTCTGTTTACAGTGGTCCTGGAAGATGCTAGGGTTTCATTAAGCACTATTACTCTTAGAACCATTAACCCATGCTAACCTGGAGTGAAGATAAAGGAAAACTGAGAAAGAGACTTGAGACACTGGAACTCCAAGCAGTAAGGTGATACTCAGCTCTGCTTCCAATGACTCTAATAACTCCTTATTTGGGATCAACTTATAATTTTTTCAAAAATGCACATACTGCTGGAAATAACTCCTGTCCATTTATTCAATGACCAGTCTAAACATGCACTACAACAGCCCCACTAACTGTCAGCAAGTTAGGGGGAGGGGGATGGGAAGTCAGCTATGAGCTGACTTGAAGACAGTGTGTGTAGCTGCTCCTGCCATTGCAACATTGATTAGCATCTCAAATGGGCCAAAGAAACAAGAAGTTAGGACAGTGATTTTCAACCCTTTTATCTCATGTCACACATAAACTAATTACTAAAATTCTGCAGCACACCAAAAAATATATTTTTTGCTGATCTGGCAAAAAAATAGGTATAATTTTGATTCATTCACACCAGATTGCTATTGTTATGTTGGCTATTGTCATTTTTTTATTTGACAGTCTAAGGGAAAAGAAGTCAGTGCCCCTGAGTAAATAGTCAAGTAGGCATGTTTTAAAAATTCTTACTGCACACGGGGAAATCGCTGTGCTAGGATGAAAGCACTGTCTAAAGAACCCAAGGGTTGCAGAAAACTGCACAGAATTGTTGTAGGATTTTGCTGAGTCATCTTCCTCTTTAGGGTGAGAAGCAGGGTACTTTCTCATTTTCAAATAAAACTAACTAGAGCAAAGGTGAAAGTAGATGAGTCATCCTAGACATTTATAATGGCAGGCAGCAAGGTTTTGCATATATATAGTTTGAAACAGGCCTTGCAAATTATTACATTGGTTCTCATAAACACAAAGGTATCAAAGAGTAACAGGAGCAGTTGAGCTAGATGTTGAACTTGAAGGCTGATTTCAACTGGCTGAATTTTTATGATATCTCATCAAATTTAAATTGACGTCCAGATTTTTTATTCTTGTGCTCTAGGAAAAAGAAACATAAGACATACAATTACTCAGGAATAAATACAAGCCTTCCGAAGTATAGAAACTTGGAAGTAAACACAGGTCCCCCATGATATTCTCAAAGGATGGTCTAGGATAGGTCTCTCCTCTGGAAAAACTACAGTAAAGCAGAAGCTCTTATTCCAGCAATGCCCACCTTTGCCCTGGCTCTCAGTTGTTAAAAAAGCTTTAATTCAGAGCAGGAGCTGAGAGAATAAACAAAATGTGCCCTAAAATGTACCAAGCTTTACCCAGGATATTATAAACTCAAAGTTTCACACTGATGTCTTCTTTTTGTTTGTTTGTTTTATTTTGTTTTGTTTTTAATTTGTCTGTATTATTGAAAGTATTACAGATGTCCCCCCCCCCATTGATCCCCTCCACCCTGCCCCTGCCCCCTTTCAGTGCCTCTTCCACACTGTTCTCTGTCCATGGGCTATGCATATATGCAGATAAGTTCATTGGATAATCTGTCTTCTTTCTAATGGGTTTATATTTTTCAGTCTTCAGTTCCTACCTGCAATCGTTTATCCTCTGGAAGTAGATGATACCCATGATGACCAGGATAACCAAAAAAATAAAGGATTTCAGATAGAGTATGATCAGTAAGTGTGACACTGGAAATTCCAGGGTTCTCGCACCTTTAAACAGAGGCAACACAGGCAGGGGTAAGGAGTCATTTCAAGGATTCTTCTAATAAACAAATTAGAGTCGCTAGTTTAAAAGAGCCCTTTAAAATATTCCTAAAAGTTCAGATTATCATAATCAAAACACTTTCTAGGTTAGAATTTGAATGTCATTAATGTATCACTCTTTCATGACGGATTTTAGGAATCATGTCTGTGTTTTACACATAGTTGCTTTAATTATTTTCTGAATGAATAAGTGCAAGTAAGCATTTCTAATACTTCCTAATTTTATAATTTAAATAAAGGAAATGTGCCCTAGCCAGTTTGGCACAGTAGATAGAGTGTTGGCCTGAGTACTGAAGGGTCCTGGATTCAATTCCAGTTAAAGACACCTACCTCGGCTGCAGGCTTGATCCCTGGCCCTGGTCGGGGTGCATGCAGGAGGCAACCATTTGATGTGTCTCTCTCACATTGATGTTTCTCTGTCTCTCCCCCTCCTTTCCACTCTCTCTAAAAACAAATGAAAAAATATCCTCAGGTGAGGATTAATTTTTTAAAAAAGGAAACATACTTTCTAATTTCTTGTGTAAATGTTAGTCCTTTGGGGTATTATTCTTAATATTTTGGACACTATCATAATACTTTCCACACAGTGAGGTGATTTTGTCACTGAGATGCTATAATTCTCCTTTTACTGGGGCATTTTATGTCTTCCTTTCATTTATTCATCTGTGAAATGCCCCCAGGAATTGTTGACAAGATAAAATGGGACCAATTAGAACCATTATTCTGAAGTTTTTTCTCTTATGAAAATGAGAGCCAAAGAGAGTGTGAACTCTAAGTACAAGTCTGGTTCTTGGCTCCAAGAGGTCAAGTCATCCATTAAATAACCTGCTCAAATACTAAACTAGAATGCTGTCAGACAATCTCCGAGGCACAGTAAGGGAAGAAGACAAAGACACATCAGAGCCCTCAAAAAGCACACATCCAATTGGAAAAGTCAGATCCATACAAATGAAAAGATAGCTTATAAGAGAGCAAACAGTGCTAAGTGTGTATTATCTGAATATATAAAAAGTCAGGGGCCATCACGACCGAAACAACCAGACGGACAACCTTGTCTGTGTGGGGAGACAAGGCTGGCAGGGGGGGCAGTTAGAGGTTACCAGGCTGGCGGGGGGGAGGGGCAGTAAGGGGTGACTAGGTTGGTGGGGGATGGGGGGGGACAGTTAAGAGAGACCAGGCTGGCAGGGAGGAGGCAGTTGGGGGCAACCTGGCTGGCAGTGTGGGGCAGTTAGGGACGACCAGGCCAGCACACAGAGGCAGTGACGGGTGATCAGGGCAGTGAGGGGAGGGGGGGGAGTTATGGGCAACCAGGCAGGCAGGCAGGTGAGCGATTAGGAGCCAGCAGTCCAGGTTTGTAAGAGGGATGTCCAACTGCCTGTTTAGGCCTGATCCCGGGATTGGGAATAAACCGGCAGTCAGATAATCCAAGGGGTCCCAGATTGGAGAGGGTGCAGGCTGGGCTGAGGTACCCACCCCCACCATGCACAAATTTTGTGCACCGGGCCTCTAGTAAATTATAAGTCATATAAGGAATAAGAAAGCTTAATGAACTCTAACTGGGAGGTCAGGATGAGGTAGGATTTCAACTGGGCCTCATTGATAACAGGATTAATTAGGTTAAGAAAAAAAGGACTTTTCAAGAAAAAGAAACCATTTAAGCAAAGATTTGAAAATGAGTGAACAACTAATATTTGGAGCATAGTTTGAGATATATAGAAATGAAATCTGTGATGATTTGAACCTAATTCTGCAGTCATTTGTATGTGTCAGGTACTGGGCCAGACTCTGAGGATATCAAAATGAAAGATGTGGTTCCTATTCTTAAGGAGCTTATACTGTACTGGGAATCAGAGAAGTGGAAAGTCCATTACAGGACCATGGAAGTGCTCACGCAGAGGCTTGCAAGAGGTATTTGGTGAGTACAGAGTAGAACACTTAACCTAACTGTAGGGTGAGAGAAAATTACCCCAGATCTATATCAAACCAAGTCTTAAAACCTCAATAGGAATTGATCAAATGGAATGGAAGAGGAGAGTGTGGGAAAGAAAGTACATTATGGAGAAGTAGAAATTGCATGGAAAAGAGAAAAGAGGACTAAAAGAGCATACCAATTTTGAGGAACCCAACAAAGCCCACATGCATGAGGTGCAGGTTGGAAAACAGCAAGATATGAGGCTAAGAAGAACAGCAGATAGAGATTGGCACCCCTGAGTTTAGCTTTCCATGAGGCAAAGGGAAGCCACTGGGGGCATTTAAGTAGGAGAGTAGCATGTTTTTCATTTTAGAAAGGTTACTCTGACAACAATGCAGGAGATAAATTGGAGGAAGGTAAACTAGGAAGCAGAAGTCCTATCACAAGGACCTTGCAATAATCTGGGTGAGAGATAATTAAGTTTTCAATTAAAGCAGTGAGGAGAAAAAGAAAGGTCCAGATTTCAGAAAGATTTTTAAGGTAACAAAACATGGTAACTGATTTTGAATATGGGAAATAAAGAGTGATTTATATAATATCTTTAATTTTCTGACTTGAGTCATTTATCAAGATATAAAATATAGGTGCGGAGTTTATAAAAGGCTAGAGGGAAAGAATACTATTTCATGAATATGCAAGTTGAGAGGTACCCTTGATGTAACCAACTGAAGCTGTCCCATTGAAAGTTGTTTTTGATGGTGGTATAGCTAAAGAGGGAAACCTGGGCTAAAAATACACATGTGAGAATAAAGAGTTAGGCAGTGGTTGAAGCCATGTGTATGGATGAGATTGCTCAAGGAATAAGGGGAAAGGTGACAAGAAGAAAGGGCAAATGATGAAACCCATAGAAATGTCTTCCTTTGTGGGAAGAGATGAAAAAGAATCTATTTAAGAAAACTAAGAATTTGATTTAAGGTTAAAAAAAAGAACCAACTGAAAATGGCAGGATGACAGATGAGCAGAGCAAAGAGAACTTATTAAATACCATAAAGAAGCCAATTATTAACAAAGAATGACAATTTTATATAGTATTTAGCATCTGGGAGATCTTTGGTGCTTTATATCAGAGCATTTTCTGTTCAGAAGATACAAGTAAATCAAAGAGTAGATGTAAGGTAACATGGAAGAGACAATGAATATAGACTCCTCTTTTTAAAATCTTACAGGTGAGTAGAAGGCAAGAGCTAAGAGTTTGAGGAAGTCATAGCATCTAATTTTTACCTTGGGAGAAAAACAAGTATTTTACATAATCAGCCTTATAGAAATGATTTGTATAATGTAAGATGAACAAAAGAGGGCAAAAATAATTAGTGAACCAAAGCCTTTAAGGTAATGGAAGGACTTATTCCAAAGGACTTAGAGAATAGGTTAAATGTTTGTCTACAGGAGGGAATGTCAGGTGGGACTGGAGATAACTGCATAGGTCTAGATATAAGAAATAGACAACATGAAATATTGATAATGAAAAATAGAGAATAGATGTGAAAATACTGATACATACTACAACATAGATGATTCTTGAAAACATTATGCTAAATAAAAGAAACCTGTCACAAAAGCCATGTAATAATAGTTCCACTTATATGAAATGTTCAAAATAGGGAAATCTATAGAAACAGACATTAGATTAGTGTTGCTTGAAGCTGGGAGTACAAGCTAAAGAGTACAAGTTTCCTTTTTTGGGGGATGAATATGCTCTGAAATTGATAGGGTGATGGTTTCACAACTCAATAAATACACCAAAAGCCATTGAATTGTACACTTGAAATGAATGAATTATATGTAAATTAGATCTCAATAAAGCCATTGAGAAATAAGCAAATAAATATGAGATGTTATGGGGAATAATTAATAGAATATGATTATATTTTAAACTCTACTATTATATTTTATTAAAAGGCCAAACATCATGAATTGACACAGCTGCTTGAATTACACAGGTAGCATGATTCAGTATGAAAATAAGAAACTGTCTACAAATCTCTGACAGTAATACATTTCAATATACAATGTGCATACAAGAGTCATACAAAACAACAAATTCTCATCCAAAACAAAAATATTATAATACCTTTAAAAATCCAATTTTTCTTTAAAATAATTCATGAAAAAAATTATCAGGTCAGTATTAACATCTCAAATAGTGAAGAATCAGGAAGCTACATTACAGCTATTTATATACAAAGAAACATCCTTTCACCAGTCATTTCCTTCTGATGTCTCTGCTTGCTTCTCTATATCCCCTACTCCATCATTTCTTCAAATCATGCAAACTGAATTTGCTGAACACCAGAAATCTGTTGATACTATTTGTGTAAACCATAACATCCTGTTGTTGACTATCTGCAATCATTAAGCCAGCTGGTAACTAGTTAATAAATGCCTCCCTCTATTGCAGCAGTTCTCAGCCTATGGGTCGCCAACCTGTGGATCGTGACCGCTTTGGAGATCAAACAACCCTTTCACAGGGGTCGCCTAAGACCATCAGAAAACACATATATAATTACATATTGTTTTTGTGATTAATCACTATGCTTTAATTATGTTCAATTTATAACAATGAAAATACATCCTGCAATATCAGATATTTACATTATGATTCATAACAGTAGCAAAATTACAGTTATGAAGTAGCAATGAAAATAATTTTATGGTTGGGGGTCACCACAACATGAGGAACTGTATTAAAGGGTCTCGGCCTTAGGAAGGTTGAGAACCACTGCTCTATTGGCTCTTTACTTAGTTCATCTGTAGCTGTGACTGCTCTAACAATTCCTTTTTCTCCTTCCATTGCCTCTCTGATTTTCCAAAGGTATAAATTTTAGAGGTTCTGCATAACTGTCAAAGCCTAAGATAGACATGGCAAAAAGAATATCTTCTCCATTGATTGGCTTCCATTTCTCTTGATGGCATCCTTCAGTTGCTTCAGATGTAATAAAGCTGATGAACTTGTGTCCATTCTTGAACACATTTT